TTACACTAACAGTTACTGGACTACATAGCCTGATCTGAAGAAAGGAGGTATACTGTATTAATTAGGATGTGGGTCTGTGATAGATTTTTGTTGTCCCATGCTGAATACTTTTTGCCTCCACTTTCCTCAATAGACCATCTGTACTGGGAATAGCCTTCACAATTATCCTCATTGGTCACTCATCTCACCTTCTATGATGTTTGTGAAACTACTTTACTTCACAACCAGATAATTAACTTTAAGATTACTTTTTATCATGTAAACTACCTATATACAGCATGTTATTTACGTATGTGTGTGGGACAGAGGGGAGGGGGACATGGTCGCATCGCAGCAGAGTATGCTGGCCATATCATACGTCAAAGCACATAAAAAAAATACTATAGTAATTTATAGTAAATACTTTAGTGTTTTTGAACCATACTATAGTAAAGTACTTGAATTCATTTGTTGTGGTAATTCTATAGTTGCTGTGGTAATATAACAATAATAATATAAACAAATGACTTTACCCAATTCTGTACAAAGTTTTCTACAACTATAGGGTATATTATCCTACAATACACTGCAGTTTACTGTAGTAAAAACTAAAGTATACTACAGTATTTATTACAGTTATCAGTTCACTATAGTTAATACTACAGTATGCTGTAGCATTCTTTAACAAAGTGTTGTAAATACTGTAATATATACAGTATAATACACTTATTATAGTATAGTTCAAAAACAGTATAGTATTTACTATAAACTACTATAGTATTTTTTCATGTGGGATGGCACACAGTGTTGGAAGGAGAACGCTGGGAAATACGACAGAAATGACGATACTCGTCTGTATCGCAGTACACAAGTCGCGGTTCAGCTGCAGCAATGGACGCGCGCCACTGCACTGCTTGCGCATCCAGTGTGAAACAGGCGTTAGGGGTGAAAAAGGAACAAAGATGTCCTTTTTCAACATAATAATAATAATAATAATAAATGTTTTTTGAGCAGCAAATCAGCATATTAGAATGATTTCTGAAGGATCATGTGACACTGAAGTCTGGAGTAATGATGCTGAAAATTCAGCTTTGAAATCACAGGAAATCACATAAATTACATTTGAAATATATTCAAATAGAAAGCAGTCATGTTAAATAATAAATATATTTCACAATAGGCCTATTGCTGTTTTTGCTGTATTTTGGATAAAATAAATGCAGGCTTGGTAAGCAGAGGAGAATTCTTTAAAAAACATTAAAAATCTTACTGATCAAAACCTTTTGAATGGTGATGTCAGGGTTCTGTCACTTCAGTCTAGTTTATTCATGGTTTTGTGCCAGAGCCCTGACACTCCAATCTTGTCGTGTTTTTATGTGAGCGCACGGCTTCGAATGTGCTCGATCCGTGCGCTCTCTTGTCCGTGTGCCTTGTTTCATGTTGGAGTGTGGTGTTCGGATCCCGGCACTCATGTCTTGTTCAGATTCAGTTTCGGTTTGGTGTCGGGGTTCGGACACTCGCACTCCATGTTCTGTTTTGTTGTGGGAGTGTGCGGTCTCGTCTGTCCACGTGTCTTGTGTTGTTGCACGCAGCTCGTGTTTTCGGCTGCGTGCTTTCATGTTATTTCTTGTGTTGTGTAGCACGCAGCTTGTGTTTTTCATTGGCTGCATGCTTTCATGTTGTCATGTTTTGTGTGAACACGCTGCTTATGAGTATTCTCATTAACTGCATGTTCGTGTCTTGTTTTGTTCAACCACATGGCTTGTGATTGTTTTGCTGGCCATATGCTTGTGCTTGTGTTTTATTTTGTGTGAGCACATGACTTTTGCCTTGTTTGGTTTTTTTGTGCCATGTGCTCTCATATCAATTGTCTAACCCCACCCAGCTTGTTACCTGATTATTGGTTTATTTGCCCCACCTGTGTTTCCCTTGTTACCCTCCTCATTTGCTCCTTATTTATTCTCCTTGTGTTTGCAGTCCTGTGCGAGTTCGTCGTCGAATGTTGTGTGTGCCTTGTGTCCTGTCCTGCCTTGCCAGTCGGTTTCCCCACAGGGTAGTTTCTGTTTGTTTTGTTTTATTTCATTATTAATAAAAGCCCTATTTCCTCCTGCTATTGAGTCCTCGCCTCATCTCCAACCCTGACAGGTAGTGTATTAAAACAAATTTTCTAAAGTGCCTAAATGTCAAAATTAGAACAATATATTTGTTGAAAAATTGTAATACTGAACACACTATTGAATTATTAGGCTGTGACTCATATTATTTTGTGTTGCTGTCTGCTCTAGCTCCCTCCCTCCCTGTACAATAAATCCATGTGAATATCTGTCTCTGCTAAAAATTTTTATGTAACTTTACAATCAATATTGATGTCCTTTTAGCACAGTATTCTGAATGATGATGATAATAATGGGGTGCTACTGATAGCCTAACAGATAGCCTACTAGCAGTCGATTTTTACAAAGCTCATCGTTCTGAAAAGCGAGGTGTGCTCTGATTGGCCAGCTATCCAGCCTGACAGCAATGACATGTACTTGTATATCGAGGGGTGAGAACCAGAAGGGCGTAAGTGACATTTTGGGTGAAATGGCGAATGGACATCCAGTTGGTGCCAAAGGGGTGTAACTGCACTTACGCCCCTTTGGCACTGAGCAATGCACTGTGGGTAAAGCCTGTGGATAGCACTTGAATCAAAATGGCTGATGCCACATGTAAGCTTGGTAGGTCAACCATGAGAAGAAAACTGTTTTTTTACTGCTGAAGATGTGTTATTAATCTTATTTTGTGACAAAGAGCTGGATGATGAGGGAGAAAATAAAACATCCAAAATTCATTGTCAGTGAGGTGTAGCTAGCTGTCACGATCTGCTGCTGCTACTGTGTCGGAGACGAGGAGCGAAGGAGCGAGGAGAAATCGGAGAATATAGGAAACAGGATTTAAAAACACACACGTAGTACAGGAACCAAAGGACGTTTGACACAGGACACAGGAAACACTGGGCTTATATACTTGGAATAAATGAGGAAATCAATGAGAGACACCTGAAATGGGACTAACAAATGGGAAATGGGAACTGGGAACACATGGGCATGGAGCACGTGGGGGAGGAAAACAGACACAGGCACTCTGGAGGCCTCTAGGGACAGGCTTACACAGGACGGACGGCCTCCAGGGCGGGACTCATGGCGGAGCAGGCAGACAAGGGAGCCATGGCGGAGCAGGCAGGTCGGAGGGCCATGGTGGAGCAGGCAGACACGGGAACCATGGCAGAGCAGGCAGCTCGGGGGGGCCATGGTGGAGCAGGCAGACAAGGGAGCCATGGCGGAGCAGACAGTTCAGGGGGCCATGGCGGAGCAGGGAACTCAGGTGGCCATGGTGGAGCGACCTCCATTGCCCTGGACTCGGCACTCGGTCCGGCCTCTACGGCCGGATCCCTAGCCCCCCCCAAAAAAAAATCCTTGGGGAAAATATCGCCCCTGAGGCCCTCCGTGGGCCTGAAAAATAAACAAAATTATTAGTGGAAGTCAAAAACAACATATTTAAAGACTATCTGGAATAATAAATGATAGAAAAACATTTCTTTCAGCGATTCAGCAAAGAAACACTCGTCCATAACTGACATAACATAGGAAATAAATATGGGTCATTTTAGACCCATGTTGTGCATTAGAAGGGTAGTGACACAAAAACGATTTTTATTCAAAAAGTAAGAAAGGAAAAATAAGAATATGTGATGATCAAAAACAAGTTAATTGAGGATTTTTTTTATTCTGAATGATGAAATTAATGTCTAAAAAAGATATAGAAAAAACAAACTCAGTCGGGTCACTTTAGACCCATGTTGTGCTTCAAAGGGTTAACAAAGCACTGGGTGGATTTTTATCATAATAGGCTGATTGTGTACGCACACTGCCAAGACATTTAAATCCAATGTCCCCTTTAAGGATTAATATTTTACAAGTCTTTTCTTGAATAAATTTTCATTCCTGTTCTAGACTCTCTAACTGTAGCGTAACAGAGAAAGGCTATAAAGATCTGGCTTCAGCTCTGAGATCAAACCCTTCACACCTGATAGAACTGGATCTCACAGGAAATTATCCTGGACAATCAGGAGTGAAGGAGCTCAATGATTTACTACAGGATCCAAACTGTCAACTGAAGACATTGAGGTGAGACATGATGACATAATACAAAATAAATTATATGAAGGTGAATAATTTATAGAATATGATTTCAGTAATACAACAAGCTGCACAATGTGTTGTAGCATCACAGCTAACAAAATGATTTCTAAACAAAAATCATGTAAAATGGTTTTCATCAGCACCAACTGCTGTTTTTTTCATTACACAAGGTTTATTTGAGGACTGAGTTGAATCCTGCATCATCTTCTCTTCTGTAGGGTTTTGGGTCCTGCTGCAGCCTGTCAGTATGTGACTGGAATTGTGGGTAAAAACCCGTTGCTCCTGAGCGAGCTGAATCTGCATAAACGTAAACTAGGAGACACACGAGTGAATCAGATCGCTGCTCTACTGCAGGATAAACACTGTAAACTTGACACATTGACGTGAGTATTTCACGAAATTTTCATATTTATACTTTGCATTGAAGTATCTTTAATATATACCATTTATTTTATATTGTACATTAAATAAGCGGTTACATGAACATTTTACATTTATTAATTTAGTGGACACTTTTATCCAGAGCAACTTACAAATGACAATAATACAAGCAGAAGCAACTAAGACTGTTGTTGCTCATTAACAGTTTTCTTTCTCTACAGGCTGAATAATAACAGGATCTCAGCAGAAGGTTTTGCTACTCTGACTTCAGCATTGAATTCAAATCCTTCAAACCTGATAGAGTTGGATCTGAGTGGGAATAAACTAGGAAATGTAGGAATCTGGCAGCTGTTGAAAAATCCTCAGTGCAGATTGGAGAAACTGAAGTGCCTGTCTTTATTTATCTACATTTCTACATAATGTACATTTGTAAATGTCATTTTGATGAGATTGACTGTCATGACAGACTTTTTGTTTGACTACTTACCCTACGTGTCCTTAAATAATGTATGAAAAATAAAAATTCAAATTAAGCAGAAGTTATCATTAAGGCATTTGTTGCATATATATGATCCTTTTTATATTAAGTGTACTACTATGTACTTACATTTAAATTAATAATTTGATATTGTGTACATATGCACTTATTGTGTACAAATACCTGCAATTACATCTGTAATTAATTTCTGTAGTTACAGCTATAATTACACTGTTGAACCCCTTAAACCTAACCATACCACCAAACCTGCCCCTAACCTTACCTGTATCCCACCTCATTAGCAGCAAAAGTGTTTTCCAATTCAGCATGGACACAATAGGTACACTGAACCAAACATTTTATTAAGTACATAGTATTTAGAGACACCTACTATAAAGTGGGACCATTGCTTATCTGTGGGGTAAGATTTTTTTGTCGATATATATATATATATATATATATATTAGTGCTGTCAAGCGATTAAATGTATATGCATTTATAGATTTATATTCTTATATTTTATATTATATATAAATATATGTAATATATAAACAACATTTTTCTTAAATACATGCATGTGTTTGTATTTATATATACAAAATAAACACAGTTTACACACAAGAAATAATCCTGGACAATCAGGAGTGAAGGAGCTCATTGATTTACTACAGGATGAACACTGTTCATTAAAGACCATCAGGTGATGAATGTTTTCAAATATTTCAAAATAAGCCATTAATGTGTTTTTAACTGTGAAACAAGGTAGAGGGCTGAAATGTGCAAGTGTGGAATTGAATTACACAAAGAGTAATTTACTGAATTGTAATTGAAAGAAATTCTACTCAGTCACACAAGTGTATTTCATGGGTCTGACATGAGTTTTGTGATATAATGTAAAAACATGAATGATTGCATCATTTGCATGTATTATTGGCTGATCATTGGGAAAATTCAACTATTATTATTATTATTACAGAAAATTTAATTTTCACTAATATTTGATCTATAATTAGCTTTAAGTGAAAACAACGAAACACATCTCTGTATTTTCTATATTACTTGCATTCACTTACACATGAAAATTGCATATCGTTATATACAGAAGATGATCCTGATTAAATGACTCCTGACACAATACAACACATTACATATATTTTTAAATGGTCTTCACAGTGTGAAATGAGACACTTAAACTGTGAAGCTTCTGAGAGTTTCTACACATAGAGTGAAATGAATGCGCTAGTTCAATTACTAGTTGAAACTTTTCTTGCATCATTACACATCTACCCTATTATGTTGATATTTAATACATTATGAAATGGCAGTGTTGCAGATGTATGAGACAGAGAATGTGAATATGTGCACACAAGCAGCACAAACACAAACCATTGCAGTACACAGTGAAATTGTTTAAGGATATTTAGGGCCCAAGCCACTAAATTATATTTTTTTCTTTCAACTATCCGGGGCATTTTGGGGCCCTTAACGTGCTCAAAATCTTTTGAAAATTGGCACACATGTTGGAATCTACTGCCATTATATGGCAAGCTGTTCTGACTTTTATTCCTTCACAGGATATGAATTCTTGATATCAACAATTCAATTTTGACTAGATAAAATGCTAATTCTTGATATCAGGAATTTGATTTCTGCTAGGAACAATGGCTATTTTTGATATCAGCAATTACATTTTCACTATGAAAACTGTTGATTCTTGATATCAACAATTAAATTTTCAATAGTTAAAATGCTAATTCTTGATATCAGGAAATACATTTCAATTAGTTAAAACTATAATCAAAGAAAAAAATCTTGACCAGGGCCGCATCAGGTACTCACGAGCGAGACTATGGGTGCTCCAGAGAGGGAACAAAATGTCAAAAACAAAAAGCAGATCCCATTGCAAGAAACAAAAATAATCCACGTCCAGGCACTCACATAGCAGGCAAAATATAAAAAGCCTTTATTGTGCAACAGGGCTGCATGTTAAAAAACACCAACGTGTATCAACCCAAACAGGCCTTCATCAGGGTGTTGAAGGCCTGTTTGGGCTGATACGCGTTGGTGTTTTTGGTGCACAATCAGCATAACAGCATAATCCCTGTTAATTCAGCGATTTCCCTGGGTGCTTCATCTAAAAGAACAGTTTCTGATCACGGACGGCTCGCGTCTTTTTAAAGACGCTGTTCCGTCCGTGTCCTCTTGGTTGCGGTCGTTTCCTATCCTCCGTCGACGGCCACGATCGTTGTCTTTGGTGTCTGGGCATCCAGCACGCTGAAGCTGCGTTCGTGGATGGTTCATGCGTTCACTGTAAGCGTGTGACCATGGCAGCGGTGCGATCGTGCCTCTCTCTCTTCACGGATATGGGAGGGGCTCCCTCTGTCACTACCCATGCTGGCTTCTCTGCCACGAGCAGAGAACCGTCAGCTAGTGCTCTGGACGATCTGAGGGTTACAGTGAGAGCCTCTCCACCGGGCCAGTCCCCGCGGACCTCTCACTCCTCCCGCAGCAGCTGTTCTGTGCAGCTCCCCAGTGATTCTGCTGTGCCGTCTTACGGCTTGCCCAGCGTGTCATTCGGCGTGCCGATGAAGGATCAGATGTCGATAGCAGCATCGGGGGATGGGCGATCATCCTCTGAGGATGAAGATTCGGCGGGGCTGCCCCCCTCGGGTGTTGTCGCCACCGCTGAATCTGACCCGGAAGTGATGGCCGTGCTTTCCTGGGCAGCCGCGAGTATTGGGCTGGAGGTGCACGGGCCTCCCAGTCCAGACCCCTCGCGGCTGGATGATTGGTTACGGCACGAAGCGAGGCTCTCGACCGTGCTCTGCCACGGTTCCTTTCTTCCCGGAAGTGCATGAGGAGGGATGAAGTCGTGGACGGCCCCTTTTTCCGGCCTGAAGCCACTCGTGTTCCTTCTCCATCCTCACTACCCTCGATAGCAGAGCGGCTTGGGAGTACGTTGACATTTCCCAGGTGGAGAGTGCGGTTGCTGTGCACCTGGCCGCAAAATGCCCTCGTCTCCCGTCCAAAGCCTGTAAGCTGACGGCGGATCTCACCACCAAAGCTTACAGTGCTGCGGGCCAAGCCGCCTCTGCCCTGCATGCCATGGCAATCCTGCAGGTCCACCAAGCCAGGGCACTTAAATGCAGGAGGGTAGTACCGACCCGAGGTTGATGCAGGAGCTGCGTTCGCCTCCGGGCGACGAAGGTCACAGCGCAGTCCCTCGGGAAGGCGATGTCCACTCTCGTGGTCCAAGAGCGACATCTATGGTTCAGCCTTGCTGAGATGAGTGACGTCAACAAAGTGCGCTTTCTTGATGCTCCCATCTCCCAGGCTGGGCTATTCGGCAACACTGTTGAGGACTCCACCAGCAGTTCTCGGCAGTATAAAGGCAGACTGAGGCTATCCAGCACATCCTGCCCTGGCGTGATCCTCCACCTGCCACTGTTCCGCCGCGGGCCACGCCTCAGCCTGCCCGTCAACGAGGGCACCCTCCTGCAGTTGCTCCACCCCGTACCGAGACCATGTCGAGGCCGGCGCGTCGAGCCTCGCGCAGGAGTGCGGCGCTCCCCCATGTCCCAGCCGGGCCCTACGTCCTACAAAAAGACGACGAGGCGGCCCTGACACGGTCAGCCCGGAGATGCAAGGAACTGCTTTTCTTCCGGAGATGGCGAGAACAGTGCCACTCCTTCCCCCCGGAGGAGGGCCGGGTGGAGAATCTTTTGCTTAGTTCTGTTCCGCTGTTGGCCCAAGGGCCAGCAGTAACCACATTTGCAAAGAAAGAGCAGTTTCCTTTTCCTCCGGGCTATCAGGCGCATGGGTTGACAGTCAGTGACGCACTGCCTCCTCACTCTCTCCCACGACACCCCCTATTGCCAGTGGCCAAGAGATTGCGGTTCGGGGACGCGATGCCTTCACACGCATTTCCGGCCGGTCCCTCTGGGGAAACGGGGATTCCTGCCGTGATGAGCCAGAACACAATGCTTTCTGGGCCATCCAGCGCGACTTCCCACCGCTTCACCACCGCGGGTATGTCGATTGTCCCTTTGATGCCACTCACACGGAGTTTGGGAGCATGGCTTGCACTGCCTAAACCGTCCCGCTGGCTCATTCAGACAGTCTGACTTGGCTAAGTGATTCAGTTCGCCAGGCGACCCTCCCCTCAGGTTCAGTGGCGTCCTCAAGAACTTTGGTGACAGTCTGAGACACCCCTGTCCTCTGCGAGGAGATTGCTGTCCTATTGGCGAAGGATGCAATCTAGCCTGTCCCTCCAGCCGAGATGGTGTCGGGGTTTTACAGCTCTTACTTCATCGTGCCCAAGGAAGCGGTGGCCTTCGGCCAATGCTGGATCTGTGAGTCTTGAATCGGGCCCTTCACAAGCTACTGTTCAAGATGTTGACACAGAAGCGCATCATCAGATGCTCCCAGCCTCAGGATTGGTTGGCAGCGGTCGACCTGAAGGACGCTTACTTTCATGCCTCGATTCTTCCTCGACACAGTCCGTTTCGGTTTGCGTTCGAGGGTTCAATTGCAGCACATCACAATGCAGTGGACGGCCGGTCCCTGGGAAAGCACAATCTCATCATCAGGTTCCTAAGGGGGGTCCAGAAGTTTAAATCCTCCTAGGCCATCCCTGATACCCTCCTGGGATCTCTCTACCGTCCTGGCTGGCCTTCAGAGGGATCCCTTTGAGCCGCTTGACTCAGTTGATTTAAGTTCCTGTCTGCTAAGACAGCGCTCCTGACCGCGCTCACTTCCATCAAGAGGGTCGGGGACCTCCAAGTATTTTCGGTGAGCAAAGAGTGCCTTGTTATCGGGCCGGCCTACTCTCACGTTGTCCTGAGACCCCGGCCTGGGTCAGTCATATCAGTATCTCCACATGATCCCTTCCTACGGGTAGAATGTGGCCTCCGTAGCACCCTTCTCCGGAAGACTTGCTTCCCCATCGTTACTGCCATGCTGTAACAACAAACAGAAAAGGCGTGAAGCACCGTTCACAAAGGTCGAAATCTCTTCTCTTAAGAAATGATTTTCTGTGGTAGGAACAGCGGCATGGCTATCTCCAGCAGCAATGTACTCACCCTTTGGCCCCTTCGGGCGCCAAGGTCAGTGAATTTGCGCTGGGGCGTTGGGAAGGTTACGACATTTGCGACGCACCTGTCTGACATGCTGCGGCTTGTCAACATTTGCTATGCCATAGGGTTGTGACGGGGTTCAGGTTACGTACGTAACCATTGTTCCCTGATGGAGGGAATGGAGACGTTATGTCTCCATGCCACAACATCGAAACATCACTGATTGCCAGGGACAAGTTCTCGGCTCCTCAGCGTAAAACCTGATGAGTGGATGCACCTGATACGTGACGCATGATACGTGTGTCAGCAGCCTGCCTGTTTGTGGATTTATCTCTGTGGATTAATTAAAGACTATTTAACTTCATCATCTTCTTCATGCGTGTTTACTCGACACTGTTACATGACACTGATATCAAGAATTAGCATTTTAACTAGTAAAAATGTAATTGTTGATATCAAGAATTCATATCCTGTGAAGGAATAAAAGTCAAAACAGCTTGCCATAGCCAT